GCCATAACAGCAGATGTACCAGCCTCCCACTCAGGGATCCAGCTGTGGGTGACCTCTGCTGTTGAACAACCCCACAGGGCCTAAAAGAAATGAAGATGCAAAATCTCTCTTTAAAGTAGGAGGTGGGTGCAATGAGAGAGAAACTAGAAGCTTGCTTTTGAAGAAAAAAAAATTGCACCTTGCTAGCTCAGCCAGTAACTCCAAGTCTGAGCAGTACTTGGATTTCTTTTACATTGTGTTGAGGTGAGACAGGCTGAGATGAAAGAACTTAGATGAAAATGGGCTTGCTCTGGTGATTCGAAATAAGACTGGGGTGATGCTTTCTGGCAACGTTTCAGAGAATTGTGTCTCTGGGACCTTCCTCCATGTCCTAAGAGGTTTGAATTCCTGATGTAAAAATGAGACTCTGCTCAAGTTCCGGGTATCCTGAGAGAGTTATAACCATAATGCTTCTTCCAGCACCTTTCTCTGAGCAAGATTGTGTATCCTTCTCTGCAGGTCAGATGATAATTACTTATAAAGCACGTTGCTTCTGCATGGCCTTGAAAGCCATGTGGGAATTACAACGAGGTCACAGAATACAGGTGTCTTCTTGCTAACTGGGACAGCATGAGGGGTGAGTGGTACCCCATTGCTCTGCAACAAATCCAACAAGCATAAGGGTGGGACCTGCTGGGTGCTGAGCCCTTTGAAAAAAACCTGTCTTTAGAAGCCAAAACAAAGCAATGCTGTTGGGGTCCCTTCTCCTCTGTGCCTAACCACAGCAGCTGTCAGTTCCTAAATCCTCCTGCAGCTTGGTGTTTGGGTAGCTGCCACGATGGACCATCAGCTCTAGGACTTGCTGCTGTACAGAAGGGCAGCTAATGCCTCACTTCATGAAACTTTAAAAATCTCCTTTTTCTTTTTCCCCTGTCAGCTGTTCCCAGCAGGGTCTACAGCTGCCCTTGGCTCCTCACCATGCCATGGGTGGTCCAGGGATCTGCACTCACATGTGACACGCCAAGGGGTGGCTGCCCACCCTTGGACACAGCTTAGCTCCTTCTCCTGATAGCTCAGCATGGGGTATGTATGTTATCAGTTAGATCACAGCTCGAACTCTTGGTTTTGCAAACCTTCTTAGCTGATGCCACAGCATGTGTCACCCTGGACCATTATATTACTGTTTGGCCTCTCCCTCTGTATCACTGAATAGCCAAATTCTTTACGGACAGCTTCCCCAGCACGTCCTTCCCTATCTGACTGAGAGGTCTTCACAGGTTGCCCTGTCTGACAGCCGGAGTTTTCTGCCTTGGAAATCAGCATATTTGAGACATCAAACAACTTTTGAGCAAGCTTCACCACCCCATTCTGTAGTACTTCATATAGCTCAACAAAAATTGCATAGGCCATGCAAATGGCTGGCATTTGCATGGGGAAGTCCCAGGTCTGTTCCACTTCAGCTTCTTGGTTGTTTCTTGGTCAAACCAAACTCAGAGGGAGAGGGTCTGGTGACATTTAAAATGTTCTGTTTTTTTAAAGCAATCTTTTTCTTGTTTTGTTTTTTTGTGACTCAAATCCTTTATGACCGAGGAAGTTGGCTCTCGTTTAGTTGTAACTGCCTCAGTTCTACCACTGTGGGTACTCTGCCTGGGGACTCCTGTTCCTATTCATGATGCTTTCCACAGCTAAGACAGCCAGAGCTGGCTCTTACCTGGGGATTTCCTCCCCATAAGGTCTGTTCTTGAATCAAATGTTGTCATAGCACAGTGAGGGTCTATACCCATTGCTTCTAGCTCTTTGCATAGGTGTTTTGAGAACGCCCTGGGCAGCTCTTTTGCTAAAAGAGCTCTTTGGACTTATGGCATCAGGGAATAGCCCCAAGGCACCTTGACATAGACTGTAGAGGCCAGAGTCATATGTGGAGATTATAAGGATTATACATTGCTCTGTCTCTGTCTTGAGTGGTAGGGCTAGTGACTTTCAGCATGGGAACAGAGTAGGTCTGCATGTATCACCCCATTGCCCACCTAGATAAATACACTGAATAAGCAGCACTACACCCCCCATGTTTGGGCATCTGTGTGCATCCAGACATGTGGATATCATGCATGGATACCACCTTCCCCTCCACCCCGCCTTTGGCTTGGCTCTCTTGTAAAAGTAGCTGGAAATGGCAGTGGTGCTAAGAAAGCTGCTATAGATACAGTACCAGGATGACAGGGTTCTGCGCCTTGGCTATAAAGTCAACGTTGATACCTCCAATCACCACCTTTAAAAGGGAAGAAAGAGGTAAAAAGTTGTTGGAAGGACTTGAGGGAAAAGTTTCCAAGTCTTCTTTGCTTTTCCTAGTCCCTTTTCCTACCCTCTTGAAAGCTATCCAATTTACAGTGTGAAGGCCTGTGCTTATTTTGGATGGCTAGGCATAGGTCTGTACAATCCTGATCAGAAAGAAGGGAAATCTCTTCTGTATGTTGCTTTCTGAATTATGCCTGCTCATAGCCAGCCCCAGCATGGCAGGTGGGATATTACTGTGTACACATACGGGTGCTGGTGGTTTCTCTGTGTGGTGGTAAAGTAATATGAGAAGCGGCATGGGACTGGTCATGTTGTGACCTTGAAGCCATTTCTCTTGGGACAATTTTTGACATATTGAACCTCAGAAAACATTCAAGCACTGCTATGTAAAGAGCAAAGAAAGTGGGAAAAAGTGGGCAGAAAAATGCACTAATTTCTTGTAAGCTCCCAGGAGAAACTGCTGTACCTGGTGACACTTTAAGGATCACTGTCCTATTGTCCTACAAAGCCAGAAAAAACAGTACAGCTCCACAAACAGGAAGTTTCCAGGTTCTTTGGGGACATACAGCTGTTTTTTCTCATTCCATCAAATGCTGGTTTATTGCCTCTGGAGTTACTGCCCTCTTTTATGTTGACAAATCCTATTGCAAATGGGTTTTAGGAAATTTTTCAGCTCTCTAAAGACTACCTAAAATAGATTTCCTGTAAACTATATGGCACACACAAAATCTAAGATAGTGAATGGAGTATTAGGGTTATAATGGATCTTGTTTGGGATATTCTGTACCTCTTGTAATTTTGGCAATTGTGAGCAGGAGGCCAACAAAAAGATATTTATAAAACGTGTATGGCTCAGCAGCTCAAAATACCTCCCTCCACCCTCTTCCAGGTCTACTCCTGTAGTCACGAGTTCCCTGGCACTGAGAGTGATACACTTGAATTTGTATGTAAGGGCACAGTAAAAGGTGAAAAGGTGGTTAAAGTTTTAATGTCTTTAATGGTCTAAGACTTAATGGATTAGGCCACTGGCGGTGTTTATTTCCTGTAAATGCAGATAGGGGGAGGAGGAGAGGATATTTATCTGAGAAGAATAAAAAATACTGAAGAGAGAATGTCTGCCAGCGTGAAGCAGAAAGATTGGTCTCTGGCTGAGTCACCTTTTACTTTTGGGAATAGATATAAATTTATCCCGTGCTGTCAGCAGACCCGTGCTGTCAGCAGAGAGGCATTATACGGAGGGCAGCAGGGGACTCACTGGCTGAGGTGGGGTCGTGTCCTCTCGCCGAGGCAGGTTTTTCTTCCTTCTGGCTTTCTGTATTCTGCTGAGGGCCACTGCTATGCAGCTGCCCACCCTGGCATTGTTCTGGATCAGAGCAAGGTCTGTTTGGCATTTCTTTGAGGAAAAGAAAAAATATCACCAAGATCGACCTGCCAGAAGCCTACGTAGGAACAGCCTAGAGGGAGAAAGCAGAAAATACATGCTGTGAGACTTGATAGGTATGATCCCTCTATGCCATAATCCTTTGGGGGCACATATGCTGCGTTACGATAATGCATGAACACCCAGAATTTTTAAATTTTTTCATCTTTCTCCCCCTGTGTCCATGGAGAGGAAACTTGACATCTCAAATTTGACAGATAGGGAAGAGAAGCAAAGGCTTCACAGAGAAAAGAGAAGGTGAAGTGCTTAAATTGGAGCTGAGAGTCTAAAAAACCTCTGAGGATCTTGGCCGGCTTTTCCAGAACTAGATGCCTAATGAGATTTTTTGCTAAGTCTCTATAAGCCCATTTTTTATCAATTTCACTGGGAGCAGAGTACCGGTGGCTTTGAAAGCCCCACTTTCTGGCTGCGTACAGCTCTAATATCCAGAAATGCCTCTACCAATCTGCCCTGACTGACCAGTTATGAGGTCTTCTAGAGGGCTGGAAGCAAAGCCTGGACATGAACCTGGCTCTCCCAGATCCTGTGTCAGCATCCCAGCCAGTAGCTCTGCCTTTCTCTTGCCTGTGCAAGAGGATTACTGCTCACCCAGGGGTATTTTCCTTCCAAGTTTCTCTTATCCAACTCTTCGTGAGGGTGCAGAGTAAGGTGGTATGATGTACAACACAGTGCTCTGGGAAGCTCTGGTGCCTTCCAGTGTGCAACCCTACCATGGTCAACAGCGTCCTGACACCATCACGGAGCAGGCAAGCTCAGGGATCAGATGTGAGGGATCTCATTGGGCTCTGGACCACCTGCTGTCTGTGCTGGCCTCCAATTTTTAGTGCACAAGTGCATGAGGACAGTAAGAGTGCTCCTGAAAAAGCAGGATGCTGTTGCTAAGCTCTCATCTGTCTGTCAGTACTCAAGTGTTTGTCCCTTGCTAGACTGTCAACAAAATGTCAGGGTTTGTCCAGCAAGCATTATCAGAAGAGATATGAAGTACACTGGAGTGGTTTGTTTGGGGTTTTTTTTCCCATTCAGTAAAAGGATACTGGAGTCCAGTGATTTCCCATCAGTTAATTCATTGATCTTCTGTAACATAAAAGGAGTCAGTTCTTTGCCTGTGATCCCTTTGGACCTGCAAATGTAAAGAAAATGCCTGAAGATTAGAAGGACTGAACTGAAACAGCCTCTTTCAGAGGAGAAGCACTGCTGCTAGCAGATACTTTATCTCTATAACCCCATACCATAAAATGTCCTGTAAACAAGCTTCAGGTCAGATAAAACTACGGTTGAAAGCATGCTTTGGGCTCACCCATGCCCAGGGTTAAGCTGTGCTACAGCCCCTGCAGCAGTATCTCTGAAGTCATTTTCTTCCCCAGGACCACAGGGTGAGCAAAGGATAGGGCTCAGGTTGCCTCTCACCTGGCTTCGCTGAGAGCTTGCTGGATGGCCTCTTCGATGACCTGGCCTGAGGCAGCCTGCTCCTGGGGACAGGGCACTGCTATCAGCACCCCGCTGCTCAGGCCTAGCTCCAGAGCACTGGCTGGGAGAGGACAGGCAGATCATTAGTGGTTTTCCTTGGATAAATCAAACGCTGAAGGAAAAGGACAGAGGAGAGTGGGCACAGAGTGAAGGAACCCACAGAGCTGGAGTTCCTGTTCTTAGCTGACCCAAGGACAGTGTCTTTTCCAGCTACCACTCAATTTACCTCTGCCCATTCTTTTGAGTCTGTCTATACAATAAAAGGGGCAAAGAAATTTTTTTTTTTTTTAAAGAAAACTGATTCTGCTTCTGAAGACTCAGAAACTGGTTTTGTAACCACGTTAACATGATATGTGTTCCTGCCACTTCACCAGTGTGAACAAAATGCGTATGAGCATGCCAAGGTGGTTGCAGCTACCTAAAAAACTTGATGTAGAGACTGAACTTCCCTCCTACTTTATTTTCAAAGCTCTGAAGCAGGAACGGGGGAGGTGGGATGGCTTGTTTTTCGGGACAAACTCTTCTCCAAAGTTAAAAAAGAAAGTGCCTCATCCAAGGTGATTTTTGTGTCCCTCTTTTCCAGGGCCCTGTGTGGGACATTCCCTTCTGAAACACACCAATGAGTTCAGCTGCCTCCTCTTCATCCCTGACATGATAGGGTGCCTGGAAACCGCTCTGGCGTGAGAAGAAGGCTGGAAACTCCCTTGACTCTCCAAAGGCAGCTACGCAGACTCCCTGAGTTTCCTGCAGCAGTGGAGGCAAGACAAGCAGGTAACCAGTGGAGGGAAAGGGGACCCACCAAAAGAATGGGACGGTTTCCTTCTGCCTAGCTAGAAACTGCCTTTCTTTAGCCCAGGGTTTGGTTATTTTTGTACATGTTATTCTTTTCCATTCTATCACCAGCATTTTTCAAAACAAGGAGCCAGATATGGTAACTGGTTAGAATCTGGCTTACTGAGACACAGGAGATGTGCACCTCCTTTGTGCTCAGAGCTGATCAAAAGCCATGCAGCTGTCATTAGCACAATACTAAGTCCAAGGTAACAGCCTGTGATCTGAAGGTATGTCATGAGCTGACAGGAATATAAATGAGTTCTGTTTGTGATTGAGAAGTATTGACGTTGGCTGTCACCTGAAGTGCTGGCCCTGGTGGTTTCCAACATACTAAACCTTAAAAAGTTACTCCACTGAAAATCATCTTGATTCCATTTTAATTCTCATTTCATTTTAGCATTTGATGGATCTAGCTTGCCTAACCCATCAATTCTAGAACATTGTGCCAAAAAAGCAAGTCTAAGGCCAGAGACAGAGAAGGCATGGCTAGTGTGGCCTTTGGCCTCGGTTGGAACAGCTGCTGGAACAGCCCCTTGGCCATGGATAGATTTACGTTAGGGAGCAGCCCAGTGCTTGTATAGCCCCAGGACTAGAGAACTGAAAATATGGCTTCGCATCCTCTAATAGTAATTTCTAAAAATCTCAGGCTTAATACCTAACCCAACACCACTGGGCATTCTGTACAAAAAGTACAACATTATCTGCTTTCAGGCTCAACAGACCATGCTACCTACCAGATATTCCAGCGTCCTGCCAATATCAAGGATAGACTTGACTCCTGCAGATACAACAGCAACTGGAGTTCGTCCTAGCTCTGTCAAGTCAGCACTCACATCCAGAGCTGTCAAGGGACAAGCAGCCATCGTGTCGGTGACTGTGTTGTGCTCCAAGCCAATGTGATCTCCCCTCTTAAAAAGCCACAGATGCCTGGGATGCCACTGCCTTTGTAACCCCTTAGTCCCACAAACAAATATTACAGGTTTAGATCGTGCCTTTAGGTGTTGAGAATGAAAGAGATATTGGCAAAAAGAAGTCATGTGGCTTAGGGCAGAGGTGCTGCCTTGTACTGTATCTCCTGGTTCTTTGATCACACTGATAAACAGCATGCACAAATTTGGTAGAAAAGAAAGAAGAAGGTGTTATACAAGAAGGAAAAAGTTCGTAGGAGATGGAATATAATATAGGTAGATTTTGATTTTGGTACTGACAACACTGGCAAAAAAAGCACCTAGGTAGCTGCTTTGACCTCAGGAAGCTCCCTGGTCTGGAATCTACATCACATCTGAAAGGGATGGCATCCAGCAGGGCAGTGCCCTTATGCTATGCTAGGAATACATATGGCTAAGAAGAGAGAATATACTTAAAGGTCACAAACTGCATTGCCAAGGCTGGGCCATTTTCCAGAGAGGAGCATGCTCCTCTAACATGGACCAGGGCCTAAGTCTTTTTTGTGGTGAGACTCTTCCTCTACTCCGCTGAGAGACAGGCAGTAACAATGCTGTGCTCGGTAGACAGTATTGGGTTACCCAGCCATTACAAAGTGGGAGAGGTACAGTCAGCTTCTGTTGTACCAGCAAACAATATCCATATAACCCTGTGTAAGCAAAGGACAAAGAGAAACTCCCACCCTCTTAACAACTGGCCACTGCTCAAGAGGAATATTTTGAAGCTTCTGGAAAGGAGACACCAGAGAGAAAACAACCAAGAAGAATGATAACTTTACTCTTCTGAACAGATAGTTACTGCAGGACAGACTGGGAAAAAGATGGAATTAAATAAAGAAGTAGCAACATAAAGTATAATGTATTGATTTTCTTACTGTTCTCTCCTCCCCGATGGACACCTCCTATGCCACCTGTCACAAACACGGGGATTCCTGCTTTGTGTGCGGCAATCATTGTTCCGGACACAGTAGTGCCACCAGACAAGCCCTGTCAGGGGGCAATCAGTCACAGTCAGCACCCAGGGTGACACAGATAATGCCACATGTGGGCAGCCATGGTTGTGGTCTGACACGCAGCAATGTCATAACAGCCTGCCGTCACCCACTGACAAGTGAAATTCTGATAAAAATTAGGTAAAAATGTAGAGGAATCATTGTTCCTGCTACGTAAGCTGTTCTTGCCTTGATGACAGGTAAGGCCTTTTTTCTCCAGGCCTTTCCAATCAGAAGGCTTCCCGAGCAGTAAAACGTCACCATAAGCTCAGGATGGCCTGTGTGTCACATCATAGTTTATATGTAACGTGATGATGCCTTATCATGCCCATAAGAATATTCTTAGCCAAGTGCTCATGGCTTATCAGCCAATCCAGAATTACTTTTCAGGAGCCCTATTTCATGGCTGCCGTTCCCTTGCTCTGTTGTATTTTCACTCCAGATGGGACCACGTTTGAGCTTACCAATAAGATACCACTTTACATATTTTCAAGAGGTTTAAAAGCCACCTGGCTTGAAGCTGGAAAGGACTATACCATTGCTCTATAGAAAACACCACAAGAGAAAGTCTGCATACCATACCTGGCTGAGGACGAAAGGAAGATCTCTCCGAGACACTTTAACTACATTTTTATTGCTTGCCAAAAACTCAAGTTCCTTGTCTGTGAGTCCCACATGGATTCGACCCCTTAAAATACCTACAGTGGCTGGCACGGCTCCATTTGTTGTTACAATTTCTTCCACCTCTCTGGCCATGCTAGAGTAAGATAAACAAGACAACAGTCACAAAATTAGTGAGGCAAACAACCAGACAAGAAAACCGCCCCGTTTGATGGCTGTCACTCCCAGTTTCCAGTTTTATACAGTTCTTGTGATTTCAGCTAAACCCAGTTCCTCTTCTGTGTGTCTTCCTAATGGCAGAAGTCTTTGCACATGAATTTGCAGAAGTGCAGAGCTCTCAGGACAGCAATGTCTAAGCTCTGTGCTTCATTTCTGAGCTAAAAACACTTGGTTTACAGGCAAATCTGGTTGTATACCAGGTTACTGAAAATAGGGATCATCTCAAAATAGGACCTTTCTGTATCTATTACCTGTTATTTCTCTGAGATCACAGACCTTCACAGAAACCCTGGGTAATTCAAGCCCTGCTCACCTGACAGGGATGTATTTTTCACAGTACAGGCAGCTAGATATAGAGTAACAAGAGTACCAAAAAGCTGCAGCCTGAGGATACTCTAGAGCTGCAGACTAGGTCTTTCTAAGTTTTGCAGGTTTTATACTTCATCATTCATACACTATCCTTTTTCAGAGCAGCTTCTTCTCCTTTTCTGAGCTATCTGTACATACGCTTTAACTACTGAAACTACCTTCTCCCAAAAACTTAGTTTTTAGAGCTTCATTCTAAGACATCATGCCAGGCAGAATAATGGCCAGGTAAAAAGCAAGATGGAAAATCAATACCAAAACCTTCCAGTGCTTTCTGGAAGCAAGGACGGAGGGGAGAGCGCAGTGATTTCTGGCGTGGTAACTCAATGAAACACAAGTCTACTGAACATCAATAAATAAAGGGGGGGGGGGGGCC